TATTTGGAGTGTTCCGATATAATAGAATGTGACTTTTTCTCTTTTTTATAACTGTGTTTGAAGACTATTGCACTTTGTGTAACTCTTCTGTATATTGCACTGATTTCATAGATGGTGATATATGTTGCTTTGCAAATTACAGTATGATGTAGAAAGACTTTCATTTACTCTTCCATTAAAACAGATAAGAGCCCCACTTCACTGCACATTTGCTGTAATATCAGTAAGGGCCAACCTCTAGGAATTGTGAACATGGAGTACTTATGAAAATCAGGCAGTTTCTATTTAGAATGCTAAGGCATCCATGTTAGGGAGATTTTGGCTTCAGTGTCAGCATGTGTGTGCATATATATATTTTTTACACTTGTATGTAGGACTTCTTAAGTCCTTTTCACCCCTATCAATTCCTCTAATATTTCTCCCCTTTGAAGAAGAGTACTGTGTCTTAACCCTATCTTAGTCATGAACTGTAAAGACTGCCCAGTATATAGGATTGAACCGATGTCATTATTCTTGAGGTCTTGTTCAGATGTATAAATATCAGAATTAATTTATTAGTAATTTGTTTTTCAGACATCACAAAGACCTGCACAGAGTACTCGAGTGAAAATTGCACTATGTGAGAAACAGAAAATGCTCATCCAAACCCAGTCTCATTTTCTCTAAACAAACAGGCAATATCCCCAAAACCCAGTCCTGACCCTCTTTTCCAATACACTGTTATTACTTCAATTTCTCAACAATGGTTCACTCCTAGTACAAAAATTATATTTCCATTGAAAACAGCACACTTGAATATGTGTACAGCAACTCCATTCAGCAGCATTGGGCAAGCAGCAGGTGTCAGCAACTGTAACTAGAATGTGCACATCTGTAAACCCACATACAAAAGTTTTGATGGGAGAGTGATGCCTAGGTATGTCCCAGGGTGAGATGGGGTTGCCCCTTGTGCTGGTTTTGGCTGGGATATTTTCTTCATAGCAGCTAGTAAGGGCTGTGTGTTGGATTTATGATGAAAACAATGTTGATAATACAGGGATGTTTTCATCATTGCTGAGCAGTGCTTACTGTGTGTAAGTCAAGGCCTTTTCTGCCTCTCACTCCACCCCACCTGTGAGTGGGCTGGAGGTGCAGAAGCAGTTGGGAGGGGACACAGCCAGGACAGCTGACCCCAGGGATATCCCACACCATACGGCATCATGCTCAGTGTATAAAGCTGGGGGAAGAAAAGGGAAGGGGGGGACATTTGGAGAGGTGGCATTTGTCTTCCCAAGTCACTGTTACACTTTCCTGGAGATGGCTGAGCACCTGCCTGCTGATGGGAAGTGGTGAATTCCTACTTTTTTCTTTTTCTTTTTTTTTCCTTTGCTTGTGTGTGTCTCTTGCTTTACTTATTAAACTGTCTTGATCTCAACCCACAAGTTTTCTCACTTTTACCCTTCTGATTCCCTCCCTCATTCCACCTGGGGGAGGAGTAATTGAGCAGCTCTGTGGGGTTTAGCTGCCAGCTGGGGTTAAACCACGACACCCCTGCCTGACAGATGCAGGACTAACACCATCCTGTTCTGCTTTCTGGAAGCAGGCTGTCTCTTTGGTTCCACTGACTGCAGGGAAATACTGATTCAGTGCACTCCCATGATGTAATCTTTATCTTGCTCATAAATGAGTATTAGCTCCCAATGTCGGCAGAAATTCATACCTGAAGCCTTTACAATCTGTTTAGGTCTACAGATTGCATAACATTAGTCTTCTATGTGTAAAATTTCTTGAGCAGTATTTCATCATGTATATGTTTGGGTCTCAATAGATGGCCAGAAAACCAATGGAGGGAAACACACGCTTTGTACTGGCATTTTATCTATTGCATACTGTGGCAAAAATGGTGTCTTGGTGAATATACTGTACTGCTGATGAACTTTCATTTCATTAAATAAAATGCACCATATGGTGCAAAATGCTGATGTTCTGCTTGTCGTTTTGCATATACTTCTTCTATACTCTTTCTGATACTGTATGATGGTGGGAAAAGTTATTAAGTTGTTAATAAAAAGTATCAGATTTATAGCGCCAGATCTGCATTTTTGTGGGTAAATGTTTGCATCCATAAATAATTAGAGTTACAGTTTTTCTTAGGAATAAATTGATTGGTTATGTCTTAATATTTACATCTGTAACTTTGCATTTGCAAGGACAAACATAAAGGCCAGGCTGGAGGTTGACTGAAAATCTGGTCTGGTATATTCTATGAAAAGTATTACTCAAATTTCTCACAGGTGGATAAACTGCATGCATGGATGAATCTAGTTAATTCAATGGTTTAATAAAACTAGAATCCCAATGAGGCTATAACAAATCCCCCTGGCGTCTTGGAGTTATGAGAAAGATGTATAAAATGATATGCAAGCAAAAGAGCTCTTTCTAAATTTGAGGAGTCTTTTGCACATTATTTTTTTATTCTGTTCACTACATGAAATAATTTCATTTCTGTGGCTCAGTCATGATAAAGTATTAGATCAGCTATCATTTGAGGGTACTATCTGGCATCAGTTTGCATCTGATTTTTTTTTTTTTTTTTCCTTTGGATAGTTTGTTTTGAAACAGTTATGCAGCACTAAGACAGATGCCTCTTAATGCCCTTTTGAGAAAGATGACTAGTTTGAAGTGGAAATTTCTGCAGTTTCCTTGTCAAGGAGCGACACCTTGTCATAAACTGCCCCATTTTCTGATGTTAAAACACATGTGGATCCTGGATTGGAACCAATTCTCTAGTTAGAAACATAGGAATTGCAAGCTGACTAGGAATGACTGATTTAGCAAAATGACTGTAACTAATATAACTGGATGAATTTAATTATGAATGCTAGATTTAAAATCATTGTACTCTGAACTATAATCTGGACAACAAAGTAATGTGAAGCCTGGTCAGTTCTTGGATCCTAAACCATCCAGGAAAGAAATATCATACAGGGAATAATTCCACGGTAGGTTCCTTTTGCTGCATTTTGATACAGAAAATGTGAAAAATAAAGCACGTACTGCAATTACATGTTATCAAGTAAAGATCCTCCCTTATCTTCAGGAAAAGGAAGCTGTTCTTGGCAGCTTCTGAAATGGGGAACAGGCTCTGCCTTCATTTTCCACCAAATTAAATAAAACAGCAGGTAAACTAATGCTGAGTGATGTAAATCTCCTCCTCTCTCAAAGATGCACATATAATGTTACAAATATACTTGGAATACAGTAGCAGAATCTTATATTCAAAATTTTCAATTAGTGAAGTTCTGTGGAGTTCAGAGGAAAAAATAATGAAGCTGAAGAAAACGATGATTAATAAGAAAGTTTTCCGATGAATGTACTCTGTATAAAATCGTAATTTTATTAATAGGTGAGGGAGGATAAAATGCATGAAATGGTAGCTAAATACGTGGAAAGCCATAAACTCTGCCCTGGTTTAGAAGACTGTAAGTGTATGAAATTGGAATGCACTGAATTGATTGCAATCTGATATTCATTATACTTCAGCACTGCTGGCAGAATCCCGTCTAACCAAACGTGCATAACATGCTTTTTTAGCATTTTTACAAAGCCTTGAGTTTATAATGACAATTAAAGTGCATCTTTTCCAATAATTACACAATTTGAATTTGGTCTGTGCTAATAAGCTCTAAGAAAACTTGAATTCCATATTTTAATATCAGAAATCCACTTAATTATAGGTAATCTCCAGCTCTGCATGTCACCTGTATTAGCATTTATATTCTTGCTTGGAGTCTGCAATATAATTTTCTGTTTATTGTCATGAACATCTTTCTAATATATACCTGCAATCTTCTGTAGGCCATGGCTGGCAACCAGCCAAGATCTTAATTTATCTTTGCCTTATCTTATTTAGCCCACTGAAATTCTACATGAAGGGCCAACATGACAGCCTGAACAAGCACCAGGTTGTTGTCTTCATCATCATCATCATCTTCACAGGATTCTTTTAGAAATAAAGACTTGATTTGCCTACCTGTTTCTGGAGGCTGGGTACTGGCCTGCAAAACTTGCTTTGTAAGCAGAAAGAGCTTATCCAAGAAGGCAGTGCCCTAAATTCTGCTCTGTTCACCATTTGGAAGAGGCAGGTAGAATTTATTTCTCGCAGGAATTTTTCTTTTGCTGATTGTTTTTCATACTAGGCTATTATGTTGGTAAAATATTTACAGCCATTATGATGAAAATTACTGGGAAATCAATTCACAGACTCTTGCTACCTTTTGATTTTTAATTTTTTTTTTTTCCCCAGCACTTTGAAACACTGCTGTGGTTTTGGCTTGCCTCTCTATTCTTGCTATTCTTTTCTGTCACACTCAGTAAGTGGCCTAATAAAAGGCAGAAACAAGAATTTATTACACCTGGGCAATACTTGAAACAAACTTTAGTTGCTGGAGCAGCACTTTTTATCTCCTTGCTGCTGTATATTTTGACGTTCCTTCTAAATATTAAATGTGACTATGTTAAATTTGACTTTATTAAAAGTTAAATCTTCATGCTTTTTTTTTGTGATTGCTGCTTTTTTTGCAGTTTCTTAGGCAGTCAAGTACATATATAAACGTATCATTTTAATGAAGCTTTTGGAGAAACAATATAAGCTGTGGCTTCATTGCTGCCAGAATCCACAAAAATTGTATGAATTAAAGACTAACTCCTGAATACCTTGTAAGTTTGTCTTGGAATAATTTCTGTGGTAACTTGAGAGAACAAAGATGAGAACAACTTCTTATATGTTTTCCAAGCTTGGAATTTGACGAAATCTTCCCCAAACAAATGATTCCCTTTATGTTTAAAATAGTTTGCAAAAATAATGACAGTAGTTAAAATAAAACCAGGTTAGATCGTCATGATGTAGTTTCCACTGTTGAATCTGTTTTTTTTTCCATATACTAGGTGGCAAAATGATCAATATTTTTTTTGGTTTTGTTTTCTAAAAAGACCTTAAGAAATAGCAAAGCGTCATCCTAGAACTGTTTATGCAGGAATTTTTATTCTTTGAAATCTTCCAGTGTTAAAGCAACAAGAAAACATTTAGAATGTCCTTTGGTGGAATCTTATTACACTTGTTATATATGTAAACTGATATTCTTTGATGCCAGCACGTTGCCCATACAGAGAAATCTCTGCACAATTAAATGAAAAGAAAAAGAAAAGGACTAAATAAAAGTAATATTTTTCTCTTATCTGATTAGAATTAAATACATTAACAAATTGTCTGGTAACACAAATAGGCAATAATACAAAAAATCTACATTGTACATTATTTCAAGAAAAATAACTTCATTTGAATACAAAAGGATAAATACACTTTTTGTCCTATAGCCACTCTTGTACAGTAGGTGAACACAGCATCTTACTGATGCAGTGCTGCTAAGGTATACAAGGATATGACTGGCTTGAGTTTTATTGAGGGGGCTGTTACACATGTGCATCACTAACATCAGACAAAGAAATCTTTCAACCAACAAGGGTTACAGAGCAACGTTCACTAAAGCACAGGTTGGAAAGGATTTGGGGACTGAAGCAGGCCAATATGGCAGCTTTTACAGATTTCCTTATACCCACAATGCACTGACAGCAAAGAATGCCTTTATTTGGTCGGTCCACACACCGGGTGGAGGTACAGTAGCGCACCATATAGGAGTAGCAAATGTTTTTTAAATTCTCTTCCCAATCTGGGGGCTGTCAAAGCCATTTCAGTCCTGCGTAAGCTTTGCAGCTAGCATTGATTTGACAGAATAGGCAGCTGTCAACTTGTCTTGAGTCAGAAGTGAACAGTCTTGACTCAGAGCCCTGTCCATAACTGATTAATATGGCTTAGTTCAGTTAGGCCTTCTTAGTTGTATGTGGTTATTTTTTCTCTTGTTTCCTTTTTAAATTGAATTTAGTTTTGTTTTCATGTGGCACATTCGTTTGAAGCAGTTTGAATGTGATGCCATCAACCATACGGAGTCTAGCATATGCAGAGTCCGGTTGCTCCTAGCAGAGCAGTCAGCAGTAATAGTGGCCTGTGTGATATTGCCCCCTGGCCGGAGTTTTGGCTGCAGCCTCCTGGATCCCTTTCACACTTCAGCTTCTCACATAAAATGCCAGTGTAAGCCGGAGGGCACTGGCATCGCACATTGTTGATGCATGTTCCTCCATTCTGGCAGTGCAGTAGTTCATTGTCACATACATTTGCTGTAAGACAGCAGGGGAGGGAGGGAAAGAAAAGCAGAATAAATATAAGTTAATCTACACAAGAAACTGCAATAAAACCAGAATTAAAACACTACCTCCCCCCTCTTCCTGAGACTTGTAAACAGGGTGTGTGTTTTTTTTAAACACTTCAAGTTTGAATTTTTTATATAGTTTGATATTTTGTCACACCACTCCCCCTTTTTTTTTTTTTTTAGACTGTAGTCTTGGAGAACTGCATCATTCACTTCAGACCACTGACTATGATAATATTAATTAATGAATTAGTATGAATAATGATTAATAATGAAATGATGTGAATACCTGCCTTGTGCCAGTGTCTGCATTTTTATAGTTACTACTGAACTGGAACTGTAGGTGGGTCTGCTGTTGTTTGGAAGGCGTAATGTATCTAGAGCTTTTGGAAAGTATGAACAGTAGTTAAAAATGCAACATGGCTTTGCTGAGGTAAAAAGATCTGTATGAGAAGGCAGGGTTTTATAAACAAGAACTGCATGTATTGATGATCTGAAAAAATTACACAAAAAAGGCAAGCACAGGCAGGAAATTCAGCATGCTATTTGATAGGGATTACATGGTATATACATATGGAAATAAAAGATAATGATGTTATCTTCATTACAGATCAAATAATTCGTCTTTATAAGGTTTGATACTTTGATACAAGGGTAACTGGCATCTTAAAACTATCTTAGATATTGTAGCCTGATATAATAACTTCAGAAGTCAAACTTGTCAAAAGAGTTAAGAGAAAATAATACAGGCAAAAAGTTTTAGAGCTGCATTATCATATTTGAAAAATTGACAGCTTTACTTTGTATTACTTAATTGGAATATTTCAGTAGGTAAATATGTGCAGGTATGAAAAACATACTACTTTAATGTGTCAATCTGTGTTTTATTCCAAATGATATCACTAGTAGAATATATGGTAGATTACAGCTCTGTCTTCCCCAGGAGGGGCAATTTTATTAAAGATCTTGCACCTACTATCTAGGCAGAATGTGACAGTTAAAATTTTCACTCGGAGAATTAGGGAAAAGATTATTTGGTTTAGAAGCAGACTCAACACTATATGCTGTTTATGCATACCTTACCCTGGAAATACCCTAAATAATTCAGAATAGGGAAAATATTGTTAATTTTACTTTAAACATTGCTATTTAATGCTACAAAGAAGTTCAGTTTTATAACTGTTAATTTACTTATTTTTAGAGGCAACTCAAATATTATGAGAACTAAAATTGAAACAGTCCAAGTTCTTAAGTGATGCAATTTTACATAAATCGGTAAAATTTTGTGCACCAGCAACCTTACTTGTAATCTTATTTGTCTCGGCTTGCTTTCAGAAAAATAATGCAGTGTGGTAGAAACTCATAGATGCAGTTAAGAGAGAACAGTTAACTAAATTTTTTCAGTGATTCCTTTAGCAATCAAAGGTGTTTGCTAAGAGGTATGAATTTAATATTGTTGTCTGGTTTCTGAATTGTATGTCAAAATTTGAATAATAAAATACAACAAACAACACATTATTGGTGACAGTCATATGTCTGAATGTTTATGTTTTCATATACAAGAAATAGTGTTTATATTATGTACAAGGAACAGTAAATCACCACCAAATAAATGTGATTATATTAAAAACCCAGAGAAATATAATGATAATGGGCCAAAAACCCCGAACCGTATTTTAAAAGTCAGTATTTGAGTTACATCTCTTATCACTGAGGCTATGTATCTTTAAAGCTGGCTTTATTATTGATATTGTATATATTTAGCTGCATCTATATGCACAATCAAAATACTTTATCTGATGGTACAGCTACTGAATGTGCTAGTTCTAGACTACTCATTGCTGGGATGCTTTCTACAGTTCAGGCAATGAAAATGGTGAAATATCTGTCCCATCAATACTGACCATTGTTTGTCTCGAATAATTGAGTGGAATTCAATAGTTAATTAAATACCACTTCTTAAACAGCAGATGAGATATTTCACTTTGTGTTTGGCCCAGAATATATTATCTAAATTTTCCCAAGTATTCAGTAAAACAAATTTATTTTCCAATAGCTTCCCTATTTTTAAACTCATTTTGACAACTATAGCCTGTAATTTTAAAAGGTCATCAGCCCAGATTCTGCTCTGTAGTTACAGATTGCTGGAGATGGGTGACTGAAGTGGTGTGTTGCTATATGCTGGCTGTTCTGCCTGACACACAGATGCAGGCTGCTATTAAATTCCTCTAATCACTGCTGTCTACAGAATTCTGGATACAATGTTGTCGATGCTGATTTTTAAATCAGACCATTTATTTCTCATTAAAAGTTTTAAAAATATCCTTAAAGAACGGATGGATCAAAAGCTTCTCCGTCATTATGCTTGCATGCTTTTAAAAATCTGCCCACAGAAACACGTTAAAGTTAAAACAGTAGATTTTAATTTTCTCAGTGAACTACTATGTAGCTGAAAATTATTGAATTGTTAATCTTGTATTGTCACAGATTTTTGTCCTCACTTTCATCCTTGTATCTCTTTCTCTTGCACACACACATGTACACACATATATGTATCATGTAGATAGCAACTGTGGTGATTTGGAAGTTAAATGAAACAATTCTGAACATGTTATGAAATCTCATTATTTATTTTTTGCCAATTTTGTTTTAATTTTATTCTGACCAACTCTAATACCATTTCCACCTTCCCAAAAGCATGGTCAGGATTACTTTTAAGGCTTTAATATTAACTAATCATGTTTATTCAGTTTAGCAATTGGATTAGCTGTAGTTAATGTGTAGCACATCATCAGCATAAAGAAAAGTACTTTCACTGGAATTTAAAACAAAATTTATGCCTTAAACAAAAATAGTAGACATGCTGCCAAAGCAAGGCAAGTATGTTAATTGTTATGAACATTAACAATGTTTCTAATGTTAACAGTATTCTTCTAGGATACATGTTACAGCATGTTTTATTTCAGAAGAGGTTTTACTCAGAGAAGGCAGGCACCTGGGAGCTTGCAAGGCAGGACCTTGCACAGACCCCTTGCTCTGTGTGGAAGCCCAAGGAGAGCTGGCACTGGTGGGTGCAGGTAGGGCTGGTGGAGCCCCAGCATGTGCCTGGCCCTTGGCCTTTTAGTTTCTCCAAGCAGCAGGAGCAGTGAGCCTGGCAGTACAGGGCCTTCCTGCCCATTGTACCCCTCCTACCTTCTCCTACCTGCCATGCCCTTGCCCCTTCTTATACTCCAAGCAGTGAAATGTTGCCTCTACTGCTGAGAGGTGTTGGACCAGCTCTGCTTTATCTTCATCATTAAAAGAAACAATGGTGAAATATTAGTTTTAATTAATCTGAAAGGCATCAGGTATCAAGTTCTGATCAACGAATAAAACCCAGAGAAGTGATGCAAGTAAAAGAGCTAATTCTGAAGTAATCACACATCACTATTAAGACTTGTGTGACTGAATTAGCTGTGGGTTTGCTGGCAGATCTTAATTAATTAGAAGACAAGATATCAAATTGACTGTTTCAGAAAAAGAGAGATACCAGATTTGCTCTGGAGAGCTTTGCAGGCCTTCTGGGGGGATATTTCTGAGCACAGTCTCCAGATCTGTGCTACTGCGGGAAGTGAAATATTTGAAGTAAAATAAAGGAAAAATTTACTGTTATTTTCATAATTCAGCAATTTACAATTCAAGGTACAGTCCAATTATGGCATCCTTAAAACACTATCCAAGGGAAACAGAAAAAAGCCACATGTAAAAATGAATAGCTATTTGATGCTTTTCTGTCCTTGGGGCAATGCCCCCTCCCCCCTCCAAACCAACAAACCCCTGAAATTAGTAATTATTTTTGAACTAAAATGTAACATCTTTTCCAAAGTAATCATTAATAAAATTTTTTTTTTTTTTTTTTTTTTTTTTTTTTTAAGGATAAGACCTCAAAGTCACAAAATATTATTGATTTGTAATTCCAAAGTTACTACATTTGGAAATGGACTAAAAAAGGGAAACAAAGGGAAAATACCCAGCTCAAGCAGTTGAGGGGGTAAGTGATGTATTGGTGTTTCATAGACTTTATATTGCGTATTTAATGAAATGTATTGAGAGTAGCATAGTTGTTTGACAAATATCTACTTTCCTCTTAAATGTTCAAATCTGAATAATACATGAAAATTTCTGAGTCTGCCCAAAATTCAACTTTAATACCTTTGCAGCTTCTAGAAAGAGAAGACTGACAACTATGGCTGATTTTAGTTCTGAATGAAACATCAATACAGACCCAGTAACACAAATACAAGTCTTGTACTCTTCGATCTGGAGGGCCACCTCAGGCATAGCATTGTACTGTTGGCTTATGTTTTCTGCTGACTGTTTGGGCAGCTTCAGAGCACATGCACAGGGCTTCTGGTCTGCATACTGCTCAGACAGAAAACCAACACGCTATTGGACTTAAACACAGTTTTCTTTAGCATTGTCTCTTTTGTTAAGGCCATCTAAGAGGGAAGAAAATACATTTTGTACCTTTCCTTGTGCTACTTCAGTTTTTCTACAGCTTGTCTACAGTAGCATCTTATTCCGGTGGGTCAGCCACATGAATATGAGAAAAGACAGGCTACTGACTTAAAACCAAGAAATTAATGTATTCAAAAGGAGACCTTTTTTTGACCTGGGATAGGTGGTGTTCACTTTCTGCATCAAAATCTGGATTTATTATTAAATTTTCATTGTTTCTTGTGACTAGCATAAAGACCATTAATGATAAAGTCACAGAAACAAAACTTTTTATTAGAGGTCCTTGCTTCCTTTCTTGAATTATGAAGTCTGTCATTTCAAGCCATGTCTTGTATGATCTCTCCCATCACTTTTTCTTCAGTGTGCTCTTTTTGTGTTAACATTTGTTACAGCCTTCTTTCTCCCTCTCTTTTAAAATCCATCACTTCACTTTTCTCATTTTTGTCTCCCACATCATAAGTATTAGAGTCC